TCAAATTTTCAAAAATACTTTTAGATAAAATTTTGTTATTTAGTTCAACAAAATCAACACAACAATATAGTATAATATTATAAATACAATAAATCTACATTAATCTACATCTACACTCATGTTTTATGTTGTTTATGCTCGCTATATATATTTATTAAGGGGACTTTCTGGTACACAACTAGTAAAAAAAACTTTTTGGGTAAATGATGAAATTACAAATTTTTCGAGTTAAATATTATTTTATTAAATTTTTAAATTAAATTAAATTTTTTTATTAAATTTTTTGCACTAAACTTCGTATCAACAAATTTTTACCGTCATTATTTCACTTGTACACACTATTATTAGTCATTTGATAAAATAGAAAAAATAAAACAATCAAAAATAACATAAATAAAACATAAAACGCCTGCCAAACTATCGAAATACCATTTACTGCAAGAGAGAGAACCTCGGAGAGAACCCTTAAGACTAAATACGTTTTCGTTCTGAAACCAAGATGATACTCAAATTCAAAGAAGTGACAACATTGGAAAAAAGATAAATATTTGACAACATTGCTTTTTCAATTTTTTGAGGTGTAAAAAAATTCATTAATTCAAAGAACCCTTGCAAAAAAATTCCTTATATTTCATCTTCGACGAGCCAGGTAGTCCAAAGCGAGTCCAGGTCTGCGTTAGATTACTTCCATATGATATCGGTCCAATGTCAACCATTGTAATTGTAAAGAGCCATAAAACTTTCTAACTTATTTACTTAAAAGGATAGTGATGCTTACCGATAGAAAAAGATTTTTTGTATAAAAATATAAATTTAAATTTTAAAACATTTTGTTGCTATTGATACAAAGTCATTCATTCATCAGTAAGTAAACGTTAGTTAGAATAAATGGTTATCTCTTATAGGTGGAAAATCAGTTGTTTACGAGGATTGAAATTTAGAAATTATTGTTAACTTTTTATATTATTTAATTAATATTACTTTTTAATAATATCACTCAGTAATAATTATTTCTCAAAATTTGAAATAGCAGTATTTTTACTAATAAAATAACTAGAATGTTTATTGAACAGACTATCATTTTGAAGAATTTTTAATATGCATAAAAACATTAAAAAGAATTCTTTCTTAATCGAATTTTGATATCTTCGAAATATTATTTAAGAGAAATTCCATTAGAGCAATTTTTTAAATTCCACAAATTGCACTTTACTAGAATTTAATTTAACAGGATTTCTGTTTAATACAATTTCTGTTTGTTAGAATGTTCATATGTTAGAGATTTTAATTAGTACATCGTTTATTTGACCAAATTTTCATATAAGCAAATTTCCACTTTCCCAAAATTTCAAACTTAAATAAATATATTTGATAAATTTCTATCAAATTTTTAAACAATATAAAAATTGGATAAAATAGAAATTTTGTTCAATTAATTTTTGGCCAAGTGAATTTTATGTAATACATACAAATTTCTTAAATAGAATTTCTTTTCAATAACACAGGCACCCAACAAAATAAAAATTCCGTGACCCAGAGGACAGACTTTCATATTCCTACGTTTTTGGTGTCTGAAAACTAATAAAAATAACAAAACTAATAGCAAAATTGCAGTATAGAATAATGAGCCTAAAAATTAGTGTAACTTTGAGTAGTATATAGGATTTGATTGACATTTTACATAAATCTTTTGATAGGAATACATAATACTTTTTAAAGAATAGGATTTGATAGAATGTTAATAAAATCAACATGGAAGAACAGCATAAGAATTTTTAGTGAATATGTTTTGATTAATACTCTAAACTAATCATCCGATAGGAATGTATAAAATTTTTTGAAGGATAAAATTGGATAGGATGATAATAAATTCAATACGAAAGAATAGTATAAGAATTTCGAGTGGATAGGATTTGATTAACATTCTTTTCTAATCTTCTGATAGGAATTTATATAATTTTTTGAAGGATAAAATTGGATAGGATGATAATAAATTCAATACGAAAGAATAGTATAAGAATTTCGAGTGGATAGGATTTGATTGAACTTTAATCTATTTATTTGATTAAAATTTATTGGAATTCTAGTTTGATAGATTTTGATTGAATTTCAATCGGACGTTCTTGATAATAAAGTATTTAAATTTCATGTAGTATTATATTTGATTCTAATTTTATCCAAATGTTTGATTTAGTTTAATTAAAATTCGCACATAGTATTCAAAATGATTGGAATTTTTGTATTTGATTAATTTTGATTAAAATTTCAATTCCTGTCTTATAGAAATGTTATCAAATCCTATACATTTTAATAATTTTTTTGAAGCAGGGTGCGTTTTATTTTAAGACAATAACTAGAGGAGCTCTTACAGACAATTATAAAAATTAGGCTTTTTCAAATTGTTTCTCAAAAGTTCTATTCCTTTTAATGCGCTTCTGAAATTCGATGCAGTCAATTGAGAATAATAAACATTTCAGATTTACTCGTCGAACATTCTATTCTATTGAATTGACTACTTAGAATCGTAAGCAGTCAATTCAAAAGAATAGAACTTCATATTTTTTTCAAAAACTTGCAATGCCATAAAACTTTGCGCATTAAGAAAAATAGAAAATTTGAATTCTTTTCTATCTCCCGATCGACGAGAGCAATGCAGAAGAATTGATTTTTCTGAAATTTTGATGGTTCCCGTGGAATAGAACTCCGAGGTAAATTCGTGTATTCAGAATAATTCAAAATTCTCGTTTTCAAGCATATTTTCTAGAAATTGAATTCTTTTCTATTCTACGCTTCTTACCAGGTACTTCCAACAGGGTGTCTAATAATTAATGTAAGTTCAAAAATATCTTTGGGGACTTATTGAACTAAGGAAAGTAGTTAAAAAGTAGTCAAATTTACTAAGAATTTTTTTCAGTGTACTAACTTTGAGACATAGAGGTTGCAAAACTGAACTTGGAGTTATAGAGGTAGAAATACATGGAAAAGTTATTGAAGGGAAATTAAAATTACTTCGAGTTATAGAGGTTGCAAAGTTCGAGTTACAGAGGTTTTTGGGCTTCTAGGGAAGGGAATGGACATTTTCTTCGACTTATCGAGGTTCTACTGTAATAATAATTTTTTTTATTAATATTCACTAAATTGTCCGGTCTAATTTTTGACTGTTTCGGACTAATTCCGGATTCATTAGTTAAAATTAACTGATTAATTTCGGACTTCATCGGACCAACTCCGGATTTACTAGTTGTTCACAAACCGTATAGAGTTCGGATTTATTCGGATTAATATTTTCGAATTTTTTTTGGGGGAAATATTAAATCAGAAAAATCAAAATCTGAATTTTTAGAGTTCGGCAAAGTACGGGAAAGTACAGCAAAGTATAGGAGAGTAAAAAAAAAGTTTTTTTTTAAAATATGAAATATGAAAATTGAAATTCTGTATTTTGGAGTTCGGCAAAGTACGGGAAAGTACTTCAAAGTATGGGAGAGTAAAAAACTAGTTTTTTGGGAAATATTCAGTCTGAAAATTAAAATTCTGTATTTTTGGAGTTTTGCAAAGTACGGGAAAGTACAGAGAGTAAAAAAAAAGTTTTTTTTTAAATATTAAATATTAAATATGAAAATTCAAAATCTGAATTTTTGGAGTTCGGCAAAGTACAGCAAAGTATAGGAGAGCAAAAAAATAGTATATTTCGTAACGAGTGCGATCAGTTGTCAATTTTTGAATGAGCACTTTTTGAATGAGCACTACAGTTTGTTCCAAAAAAAGTGCTCCTTCAAAAATTGGCAACTGTTAGCACTAGTTACGAACGATATTTTTCATAACAAGGTGAAAAAAGTGCCCTTTTTGCACCGCGTTATGAAAAAGTTTTTTTTTAAATATTAAATATGAAAATTGAAATTCTGTATTTTGGAGTTCGGCAAAGTACGGGAAAGTACAGCAAAGTATGGGAGAGAAAAAAAAAGTTTTTTCAAAAATATTAAATCTCAAAATTCAAAATCTGAATTTTTGAAGTTCGGCAAAGTACGGGAAAGTACAGCAATGTATGCGAGAGGAAAAAAAGTGTTTTTTTGATCATCTTAAAAAAGGAAATTCAAAATCTGAATTTTTCGAGTTCGGCAAAGTACCCCGGCAAGAAGGCTGGAATTGGATGGAATTAAAGTTATCTCATGTTTGTATACGGGAGTGAAACATTTTAATTCTTTTTAATACCTGATTTTTCCACTTTTTCTAGTTTCACGGAGTAGGATAAATCGTCAACAAAATGAATTCCATTTAATTCTAAAATTTAAAAGCTATTTTTAGTCGTAAATTTGTTTTCTTTTAAAACGAATAGATTATGTATTTTTTAATTCTTTTTCATTTATGCAAGAAGAATAATTTAATTTAAATAATTAATCAAGAAATATTTCTTTAAAATTCAGTTAAAAGTTGTTAAATTATATGTATTATATATTAATTAAATAAAATAGATTAACCTATACAAATTACTTAATTATAAAATTATATAAATATTTAAATAACAATAATAATAATTAATGAGAAATTAAAAATTTGAGTAATTTTTTATTTATGTAATTTAATTAATTTCTTTCAACTTTAAAATAAATAATACATAAAAATAAAGTAATAATAAAAAATTAATTTTGAAAAAAAATTCTATTGTTTGGTAAATTATTATTTTCTTATAGAAATAGTTTATAACGAATATAATTCATAACTCAGATAAAAAATTATTTAGGATAACATGAATTAATTTGTGAATTTTCAATTCTTTAATATTGAATTAATACGTAAGTATACTTACGTATTAATTCAATTATATATATAATATAATATGTTAAACATATAATTTAAAATAATTTTAATAATTTTAAATTTAAATAATTAAAGAATAAATAAAATAGAGGATATTATGTGTAAATTAATAAAATCTGTTTTAATTAAGTCAAAATTTTTATATTTATAGTTACATAAATTTTTCCATATAAATAAATAGGTGAGCGTGGTCAGAAAATTTAAAGAATACGGTACAATATTTTTAATGTGAATTAATAAAGAAAGGATAATTGCTTTGCACATTATGCTTTTTACATTATTGAGCTTCAAAAGAATTTGGAATACGGCAAACATAATCCTTATTTGCAAATTGAAGAACGACTACTTTTGAACTAATTTCATCGAGAGAAATAGATGGATGCTCAGCATTGTTTGTTACTTTCGAAATGTGTGTTACTAACATATTTCCAGCGTGGAATGGCCGAACAATCAATTTTTGAACTTTAAAAAAACATGTTTTATCTGGACGTAAAAAAATCGCTTTAAATTGCACGAAATTTCCGTTTTTTAATTGAATGACCGAGTCATTTCACTTTTTGGATCGCGTATACTGTATACTACTATAAACAATTTTGTTGTAAATACATCGTTCGAACTCTTTATTAATTTGCGATTCAAAAATGTTTTTCGGATTAGGTCCAAAGAAGGTAACGTTTTGTACTGTAACAGGACTTTGAGTACACATTTTTGAGGTGAAAAGATTCCTGCAGTAATTACTTGCCTCTTCAGAAATGTTTGTTTCCGGTTGACGAAGTGAATATTTCAATGCACTGAGAGATTTTTTCGTTAGTTGTTGCTCGATACTTTTTGTTCCCTTTATTTTCTCCTTTAATGTGTAAATGTTATTTTCAAAGGCAAATGCTGATGTTGCCCACGCAGGACCGGAATACTTACACGATTGTGACAAGTGTTCGCTGGAATGGGCATTGTATGTCATCCGTTGTTCTCCATACAAATTTTCCAATTGAGAAACAAATATTAATAAATTCTTTTGCATGTATTCAGCTCTTCTTGAGAAATTTCCGTTTGTAGTAAAGTAAATATACTGTTGACATAAAGAGCAAAATTTTCCAAAAAATCATCAGCTAAATCTCAGAACACATTGGTAATGAGTAATAAAGCAGCCATGACTTCCAATGGCATGCTTTCCAAATACTTTTATTTGATATTTGTTCAGGAACCCTTTTTAAATCTCGAGGTGGTTGTACCTGACTCAGGTACTCGTCAATTTTTCTCCGTTGTTCTGGTTTTAAAACTTTATACCAATCAACCCATATACTTTCTGTCGTTCCCAATAATGCATTATGCATATAATCTAAAGGAAAACCCCACACCATATCTACTGTAGGTATTTCACAGAAATTTGATTTTCCCTTTACACCGCGAAAAGAAGATTGTTTCTCTTCGCTCATTTTAATATCTAACATATGAGACTCATGTGTCCTTATTTCAGGCTCCTTTTTCAAGAATGGATATTTTACTCCTCTACATATATATTTCCCTTCATGGTAGCAGTAACTACAACCGAAATATCCCATATATTTTATTCTGATTTGTAACCCTGGACGAGCTGATGAATCGGCAACCACTAAAATAAATTTGAAGAATAAAATTTCATCCCCAGCATCTTTAAACTTGATTTCCATTCCTTTATAGAATAAACTGGATGCCTCCTTCCAAAATTGACCAACATAAAGATTTATGAGTTCCGGTTTTGGTTCACTCTTAACAATCATTACCCCAACAAGTAGAACGTATTTAAAACGTAATTGCGGAGGTAAATTGTTCAAAATTATTTGAAGAGGCCAAAAACTTCTCTTTGACATGTTGAATAGTGGAGCACCGTCTGTACTTAGTGTGTAACTTATACAATTCGGAGATGATTGGCACATTTGTTTGTGCAGTTTACTGTCCTGTATATCTCGTAAAATATTATCGCCACTAACATTATTCATATAAAAATCTTTACTGCGTGGATTAAAAAATTTTGCTAATTCTTCATTTTCAATTAACAACCGTATCTGATACTCTAAATCGACTGTTACAAAACTGTTTGGGTTACTGAGACTTACACATTGTTTAATATTACAAGTATCGCACAAAATCATTTGATTTTTTATTTCTTTTTTAGTCGAGGAAAACAATACCTTATCAAGACATTTATTGCAATAAAAATGAAATTTAATTTTTTCCGAAGGAGGATCAAAAACTTCTGAAAATTTGTTGTTGGAAACACTTAGATCTTTAAATTATGGCCCAGCGCAAATTTTTAAAATTTCTAATAATGCTTTTCGTGCTTCGTGACTACTAACAAATCGTAAACAGTATGCAAATATCATCTCCATAACATCTTTCACAGTCTGTCCAGATTTCTCAAACATTATTCTACTGTCATTATCAGTAAAAGTTTTTTTTAGCGTGTCGAAAGTTTTACAATTATTAAAAGAGTTATTTAAATTATCTCCAGTATCATCCTCAGAAGACTCTTCGTTATTAAATATTAAATCGTAAGCTTGTTGGATATTTATTTCTTCTTCGTCTGCTTCTTCTTCACCTTGTTTCGGTTCACCTTCGCGTTTGAATGTGAGACGTAACTGTGGGCACACTCTTGATTTTTGTAGACTTCACCTAGAAAAACGACCAATTTCCTATTTTTTTAACTTAAATAAGAATATTCTTATCTATTAATGAAAAATAAATGTAATAAAAATAATAATTAGTATGTAATGAAAATAAAAATATTTTCATATTCACATTTAAAAATATACTTGAGTAACATTAAAAGAGACTTGATCTCTTTAAGTAAAATAAATGATATAAAATATATTTTGTGTTATTGATTAAAGAATATTATAATTCTTTATTGGATCTAACAGTCCATATACATAAAATAACAAATATTAATGATAGACAGAAAAAATCGACGAAGAGAAAAAAAACTGACAATATGATAAATACAAAAAAACAAAAACGAAGAAATGCTCGGTCCCTCGGAAGCGGACAACAACCATAAATTAACGCAGATCTCACACATCATACGGTAAACATAGCACACATACACATCTATCAACCTCCTGGTACTCGTACAATTAACATCTTGTGAATCATATTAACAAATTTCTTTAAAGTCGCTATATCAGGGTTGACAAAATTTCACCCCAGAATAACTCATGGTTGTCCAAGGACTGAATTTCCGGGAAGCTTTCGCATTTTATTGTAAAATAAAATGGACATTCCACCAAGAAATGGTGAAAGTCTTCACGTGTTTCTTCACAGTGAGTGCAGTTGTTAGATGAGGAAAGCTTATAACTAGACCGACCAAAAACAAAATAGGAATAAAAATTATTGACCAGGCGAATTTACGCGTAAGCCCTCATCCATCTCAAGTTTAATCGACCTCTTAAGTAAGGCTGAACCGAGTTATATAACTGCACGTAGGGCCAGACCTGAAGACTCGTAGAGCGGGCACGCGAATTCTCATCCTCCCTTAATAAATTTTGTGAATATTGCAAAAGAATCTCCTCAGCGTTATTACCTAATGTAAGTAAATTGTCGGGATCCCAGTATCTCTCCATGTTCCCCTTAACAAAATATTGCCGCAGTTGCTCAAACCAATTAAAGCCCGCCCCAATTGCATCCACCCTGGCTATCTCGATCAGCCTCAAAGAGCATTGCATTGGGTACCGAGAAATAGACATCCGAGAAATTTTTTTTAACCAATACAATGCTGCTCTGAGGATCGAATACGACAAGGGCAATCTGCTTGTTTCCAGACGTAGAGCGTAGTTAGGAGTATTTTTAGGCAACTGAAGCAAGCCCTTCAAGAAGGATAGCTGCACCCGCTCCAAGAGGTCATCAAGACCCAAGCCCCAAGTTTCCATTCCATAAAAAAGGTTACTGCATATTAGACTAATGAACAACCTTAATAAAGTAGACCACGAATCAGCCCCGGAACCATGAATTACCCTTAGAGTCGCACCTATTGCTGCGGTAGCCGAATCTATATTTTTCTTTGCAGCTTCCCAGAAAGTACAATTATTTTTGAAAATGACACCGAGATACAAATATTGATCGACGACCTCAATCCTACTGTCTCCAAACTTAAAAGATTTAAAGCGCTTCACCGATAAGTTGTTACCCCTATGGAATATAACAATTTTAGTTTTTTGTACATTGACATTTAATAAATTGCGTTGACAATATAAATTTAAGGCATTTAGTTTTCTCGATAATTCTACGGGTGTATCAGATAACAATACCAAATCGCCAGCATATGCTAGCAGGAGGACCTCCAAAGCACTGTTAATAGATATGCCCCGACAATCATGTTCAATTAGAAAATTTTCCAGATCACTCAAAAATAGGGAAAAAAGTTGTGAACTTAATACTTCCCCCTGCAAAACCCCCCTCGTAACTCTAACAAAATCTGTTTGTCCATTGGCACAGAAGATGCAGGCGGAAGCATTTTCATAAAAGTTCTTAATTATTTTCAAAAACTTAGAACAGAGGCCTAATTTTTTTAATTTTAACCAAAGTAAATGATGAGATACTGACGGGAAAGCACTTTTAAAATCAATGAAGACCGCGTAAACAGCCTGCCTAGGAAATCTGAGGTGGATTTGTAATAAGGATGAGAGAGTGAACAAATTATCGAGACATCCCCTTCCCTTTCGAAATCCCGATTGAAACTCAGGTAATGCATTGTACTCCTCGCACCAAAGAAAAAGTCTTTGAGAAAGAATTTGCGTAAAAACTTTAGCTATGCAGTTAATCAAGGCAATAGGCCTGTAATTGTCAACCAAGGATTCATCTCCCTTTTTATGCAACATTAAAATTTTTATCTTTCCCCATGATTTTGGTACCTCTTCTTTACATAAAATTTTATTGAACATTTCTTCCAGATATATCAACCAGTTTTCCGGAAGTCTTTTAAGAAAATCGTAGCCAACACCGTCACACTCTGCTGATTTCGCGTCTTTACATTTTTTTAAACTTAAAAGAATTTCGTTCGAAGTTACACAACCATCAAGCAGGGGGTGAGTCAAAAATTCGTCCGGTAAGGGAGTGAAAGTTTCCGAAGAGAGAGAAAAGGCGGCATGGAGGTAGTCCTGCCAAGCGTTGCTGTCAATGCTATTTGAAGGTTTCGGAAAGCGTCGAAATTTGTTAATCTAAGACCAAAATCTTGAAGAACACCTGGCCGCTGCCAGCTCATCGGTTTGGGATTTCGCGTACAATCTTTTTTTTGAGAGAATCATACATTTATAATCCGCTTCTGCTACTCTGTAAGTCTCACCCGCAACATTGTCAAAGTTAGAGATTCTATACAGATGATATAATAGACGAGTATTTTTTTCATTTTGCGACATTCAGTATCAAACCAGGGTTTGTTATGAGAAACAATTCTTGAAACGGAAACAGCAGGAGAATACATGTTTAATTCAAATGCGGCACTTCTAATTGTAGAAATGAAAATATCATTCATATCACTGATCTCCCCATCGACTTGTGCCACTTCATCTTTCCATCTTAAAATATTTCTATAGTTAACTAAATCTGAATCTTTAAATCGAAGTTGAGACATGCCACCTTGTGATTCCCTACAACTAGAAGATGTTGGTTCTAATTTAAAGATATCGAAGTAAGTTACAATTGGAAGATGGTCAGTGCGAGTAGCAATTTGCAAAACTTTAAAATCGCGAATAATGGGTAAACCGCCAAAGGAACACCAAACATGGTCTATTACACTTTTTCCCAAAATTGAGTTAAATGTAAACTGGGCAGGGGAGTCACTGCAAGATCTTCCATTACATATAAAAAAGTCGTTGGTTTCCATAAATAGTGTTAAAGTTCTTCCTCTTGAGTCAATAAAATTATCAGTTGACAAACGATTGGCAGAGAAAAAAGTATTTGGGTAAAAAATATTATCATTGAGAGAATTGAGATTGGCAATTCGACAGTTAAAATCGCCTCCGATGAAAAAAGGGAAATGTGGAAAGGACGAACGAATAGAGTTGATTACAATGAAAAGATCATCGAGGAAACACGATAAGTCGCTGTCGGGAGTAATGTATACTGTACAAATGACGAAAGACATATGATTTGTGGTTACCTGTAGAATGATATACTCTTGCTTCACTGCTATTAAATTAGCTGAATAAAATTTCCCACTTAACACAATCGCAAGTTCCCCACCAGCTCTTCCCCTCTTCTCTCTCCTAACAGCCGGGGAACAGAACACCAGCAAATCCTTGGAAAATCTCCCCGAAAAACCGCTGGTAGACTTCGCCCAGGTTTCGCATAGGCTCAGAATATCCCCCTCTTTGAAGGTAGTCTTGATGTCTTCCAGATTCATCTGCTAGGGAAAACTTTTTTTGAGGGCCCGGTTTATTCGCCTTCTTCGGAGGGAAATCATCTCGTGGTTTATCCTGCTCTGCTGTGAAACCAGTTTCCTTCAAAATTTTGGTGAATCTGGGGTCATCATCCAATAAACGAACTCCATCCACAAAGATACTCGAGTTTTTCATTGTGGCTGTGATTCCTGCTTCCTTAAGGGTATGGATACGACTTAGCATTTCCTTCCTCTTTTTTCTTTCCTGAGGAGAACGATCATTTGCGATAGAAATATTAAGATTGCGGAAATTAGTCACCTTCGTAAATACAGTTTTGACCCACCGAGAAGAAATAAATTTAACTAAAATGGGACGATTACTCATTGCTTTTCCCAGTCTATAGACCTCATTCAAGGACAAGTCTGGTATTGTTAAACCAACACTTTTAAAGGTCGAGGAAACAACTGAGAACAAATCACTATTATTTTCATCGTTGTCGATTAAATTAAAAATTAAAATGTTTTTCGCTCTTTCCTTTCGCATGAAAAATTCAAGATCACTTTCCATAGAATTAATCTTGTCCGTAAAAGAACCCAGGTTTTTTGCTACAGCAGCCGATGCAGCACAAGATGCATTCACGTCCAAAATCAACTTTGCTTGTGAAGCCGTTAATGCTTTAATCTCGGTCGATAGTTGAGTGATGACACTAGCAAGATTGGACTCCATGATCAAGTGATATTCTGCCACTCTGCTCAAACAGAAAGGAACACTCACAAACAAGACCAGACACAATTAAAAAAAACAAAAACCACGAAAACTGCGTAAAAATGTATACAGAATAAAACAAATCATTAAATTTACAGACCGTTTATAAACACGTCAGTCCATGACCGCGGCTCAAGCCAAACTCCATTGATTAAAGAATATCTTTTTCTTAGCTTAAAAAAAGGAAACACATAGGATTGTTATAAGAAAAACTTACTTTTGTACGCATTCTCCAAAATTTTTTCTGTTTTATTAGACAACATTCCATCTCTATAATTCGGATCTAAGGCCATCGAGTAAAATCGCCTTTTTCGTTTTGGACTACTGTTCTTCATTATAATGTTGTTCTTCTCAGCATTACCCAGGTAGAAATTGACGACCGGGATGGTACCGGCCCGGTACAAACGGCGGATTATAAGTGCCGGGGCGGTACCGGCATAAGACCGTAATTTTTACCGTCTCGGTACCGGCAAATTGCCGGATGATAACTGCGGCAGGTATCCGGCATACGTACCGGGTCGGTACCGAATAATC